GCGGTCCACTGCTGCACACGTGCCACAATATCGATACAGGGCCAGCTGTATCGATACTCGTATCGTCAAATCTCTGTGACGATACATCGTCGTATCGATATTTTGAACACAGCACTATCAAGCACCACTACATATGTGCACCAATTCATCAACTAACACTTCCTTCCAATCACATCTATATTCACAGCCTTAGTCTTATTCTTGTTTTTATCAGCCCCATTTTCCTCCAGCACTTAATCCTCCTCTTTTACTCTCTCATCAGGTTCTTGCTCTCGCTGCTACAGTGAATTAATGGTGCAGTCAATGACCGTTGGATGACCTCATGCCCTGAGCTCTAATCCTGGATTACATACTACACTTTGCAGTCTCACTAGGGACCCTCTATGCATAAGCATATATACACAAACACACTGTCCACCCATCCCAGCATGACTGAGAGTCTGCTCTATTATGAAAACTGCTCTGTTTCACCTGGTTCAGCACTGTAACATTTGAGCAGGTGTGTGTGTATGTGTGAGTGTGAAGAAATTTAGCCTATTTGGAATCCCACAGCTGTTGGAGTGCAGAATTATGCTGGAACTAGCCATTAGTAGACTAGGTAGTATACTGTAGGACCTTTAACGACAAGCTGCAACTTCAACCAGTCTCATATCAATCACTTTAAACAAAATGCAAAATGTTTTTGATTTGATGACCTGGCCCTGAAATCAATTCGGAACACTGACAGGAAGTACTGGAAAAGAATCATAAATTTGTGGCATGCACTGAAGCAAGTGACGTCCAATAAAACTTTAGCACAGAATTATGGAGGACGCTGAGGTAAAACTATTTGGAGAGTGACTACATTTCACTGCATTAATTCTGCAACCTTCACAATGTCAAACTAAATTTGGGTCACCTCAGAAAGCTCAAGCCCAGATTTGCATTCAATATGTAAAAAAAAAATTGAAGGACATTATTGAACTGAGCATGGTTGCAATGTAAACCATAACCATAGCACATACCAGAGCATGTGAGCGGAGCGGAGCGGGGTGGTAATATTTCCTTAAGAGCGCAGAGCGCCTTTCTGAAGATTCCGCTCCGCTCACTCAATACGCTCAGCGCCGCTCGCTCAACCCAGAATGCACTTTGGTGATTTGCTTGTTCGAGATCGAGAACAGTAGAGCAGTTATGGAGTTCAGATATTGTCTGAAATGGCCACGAATTAAGAATAAATTTTTTCGTTTAGTCTAAATTATGGCCACAAATTAAGTATTCGTTCTCTTGTTTAGGCTTAGCTGCACACTAATTCATTTGTTCATTCATTCGTTATATTTCTTAATTACTTATTAAAATCATTATTGCTTAACATTAATAAATAATAATAATAAATTAATTTAAAAAAATAATAAAACCTGCTGACGTCGTAGAAACGAATTGTTAATTCGAATTATATTCGGAGCTCCGTAGTTATTAAATAATCTCAGTTAAACTGTAGACCTAAGCTAACACACAGCTGTATATAGGCCTAAATACAGAACTACAGAGTACAGAAGATATTAGCATACACGCCTACAAAACCAGTGCTGGATCACTTGGATTTTGGAAAACCAGTGCTGGATCCCTCCCTCAACTAGCCAAGGTCGCCCGCAAAATCTTCAGCATCCCCAGTGGTTCTTCCAGCGCTGAGCGAGTGTTTTCGGGCACACCGAATGCTGAAGCCTGACACTTTGTCCAAGCTAATGTTTCTTAAAGTAAATTCTAAAATCCAGTAAACATCAAGAGACGTTTTAATAGACCACAGTTCCCCGCAGTTATGGTCTATTTTAACTTGACACTAGAAAGTGTGTTTCTTTCATCGACGTCAGTTCATAATCCAAGAGTTCTTTAAGTGCATTTTATCTTGTGTGTGCTTTTCACAGGCTTTATAATCCAGGTGTATTTTGTAAAGATCTACGCACATTTCATCTTGTGTGTGTGTACATTTGTATTTTAATGAGCCTGTTTTGAATGTTCTGTTGCACAACAACGGCAGCTATTTTCACAGAAATAAAGTTAACGAAAATCAAATACACTTTTTCAGTTTTTGCATTTTAGGTAGGTTTGCTAAGGTTAGATTCATATATTTAATAAATTTTTATTAATACATTACAATTAATACAATTAAGAAGAATGTAAGAATTTCGCTCTGAAACATGACAATTGCTATTTATCAGCATGCTTAATTTTAGACAATTATCCAAGAATTTCGGTACAAACAGTAAACAATTAGGCCTACTAGAGAAATTTTATGTCGGAGCGGGATCTGAGCGGGAATTGGTTTAAGGCGAGCGTGAGCGGAATATTAACGGAGCGCTTGCTTGGGCGGTTAGAGCGACTGAGTGGAGCGCACGTCCATAGAGCGGAAAACGTAGCGGAGCGTCACACCGCTCCTCTTCGCTCACATGCTCTGGCACATACGTATTACATGTCCAGTAACCTTCACAATATCAGCATTAGTTTGTAAGATTTCTCACTTACCCATCTCTCTTCTTTCTGCAGATGTGGAACGATCCCTTCTCACTGTCCGATCCAACCGTGAAAGACTAGGGCTCTCTGATGTTCCACCTTTTTTGCTGCGACTCCCTTTGAGGGAGGTTCGAGATAGTGCAGATGTGAACAAGTTGGTGTGGTGGCTGGTCTCTGCCTCCTCAATAGGGGAGGCAGCATCTTCTTCATCACTCTCTGAGCACTCGACTGTATTTTGCACATGTCCTTCAGAGAATGCACCAGACCCAGAAAGGGACTGGTTTCTAGAGAGTTTGGAGTAATCCGTTTCAGAACTTCCCATCCTGAACCAGGAGTCAACAGGATGATGCCCCCGGCTCACACTGCCCAAAGACAGTCGCGAAGGCCCAAGACAAGACATAGAAGCTTCTTTTCGCTTGTACCGTTCTGCAGAAGATGAGGAGGAAGAGGAAGGGGAGTTGGCAGAAGCTGTCTGTTTGTTAGCACTGGAGTCAGCAGAGCCATCTTGGCTGAACCTGCAACGCTGCAGGGACTCTACACTCCCTCTCTCACCTCTTCCGACCCCCAACCCCTCACCTCCTCCACTTCTGCCTCCAATGCTACCTACAACTCCACCAACATCATCACCCTCCTCTTCCCCACAGCGATCACGGTGCTTGTGCCTATGCTTGTGTTTGTGGTGCCAGCCAAATGACAGCTCGGATGACATTGCAGGATAGAGTACTGATGAACGACCACCACCTAGATACTCCTGCCTAAGCAGCTTATGTTTCTTCTTGTGAAATTTTGAGGGGTTAAGAAGCAAGTGAGAGGGGTGATGATGATGGACATAAGAAGGGGGCGGAGGTGGAGGAAAAGAAGGGGAATGAACGTGGTGGGATGGGCCAGAGTGGGGAGCCTGGTGATGGGGGTGGGGGTACAGGGCACTTGCTGGGGTATAACCACGATAGTAGCCAAGTCCCAATGGGGCAGAAGAGTATGGTACACCATAAGAAGGGTGATAGAAACCTCCGCTGGAGAGGGGAAAACCTAGCCCAGGTACAAAAGGTACTTCTGATATAGATTCTCTGAGCTTAGGTGGTCGCCCTCTTTTCTTTTTAAGATCTGGCTTACGGACATAATGAAGTGAATCACATGGGTAGGCTGGGTGGGGTGAATAATATCCACTAAAATTGATCCTGAAGATTGTGGGCAAGAGGTCTCTATGTAGATAGTGATGTGGTGGTGGATTGGTTCCACCTCCAAGGCTGCTGCTGGCTCTGGCCCTTCCCAAGGCAGACCCACGGCCCGGGCCTGCTGCCCCAGCACCCAGACCCAAACTGCTACCTAAACGAAGTGTAGGTGTGCGATGACCAATTCGTATTTCACTGAGCTGCACACAGATCTCATCCAAATCAGCCAAAAAGTCTGGGTCTTGCCGACGTGACCTCAGCTGCAGATACTTCTTCTTGCGTTTGCGCTTTTGCCTTTTTAGTTTGTCATAGCTAGGGCAGCCATGTCCACGTCGTTTGCACTTATGCTTGTGCTTCTCTTTATGTCCAACCAAAGCAGGAGATGGGGCAGCTGGGTGCGGTCTTCTTGTATCAGGTGATGCCCTCGCTCCAAGTGGGGAGGGTGTGGGTGAGGGACATTCCAAGTGAACTGAAGATGAGTGCCTCCTTCTACCTCTCGAAGAAAGCCCCATTCCAGCTCCCATGGCTGGGCCTATGACACCAGGCATTAAGAGTCCACTTGCCATACCCTGCGAGACCCCTAGACCAGCTAAGCCACTTGCACTACCAGCCTTTTCCCCACGGTCTGAGGTGCTGTTGTTGTCTGTCCCAATGCCACTGTCACTGGGTACTGTCTCTTCGCTGTGTGATTCACTGACTGGGGAAGGTGTGGCCTCCTTCAGCTCACTAAGAGGAGCAGGAGACGTGGGCAATAGTGGCCTTGGAGGAGAAAACTTTCGATAATGGTAGTGCTGCCGGTAGTGGTGGTGGTAACCCCGGCAAGAAGATTTCTTTTGAGATGGGTTTGTTGTGAATGATGAGGAGCTTGCTACAGTGCGAGCAGAGGGGGCTGAAAAAGTAGGTGGGGGAAAGGAGAATGAGTGGTGGCCCTGATGGGAATGGCTGCAGTGTGGGTGGGATGAGAAATGCACTGAGCCAGGCTCAACAAAACTAGCATCACTAATGGGACTCTGGCCCCCACTTGACTGCGAGAGTGATGGGGAAGGGAACACCTCAGACGGAGGCAACTGGTGTTGCTGATTTTGCAAGGCCTGTGACTGGTGATGATGGTGTGGGGATGAAGTGTTTGGTGATAAGAAAGGTTCAGGAGGGGGCGTGGGGGCACCTGGGGAGGGATTAGCTGATGTTTTTGGCTTACGACCCCTCCTTTTACCCATATATATTGTCCCCTTTTTGCTAACGTTGATCTGGGGTCCTAATTTGCCCCCAAATGTAGCAGCAAGTGATGATAAAGACTGTGGTTTTGTAGCAGCCCCAGCCCCTGGCGCTCCGCTGCTTCTGGAGCTTTCCTGCTCAGTCCCTGGTTTCGGCCCTAACAGTATCTGGCTCAGGAGCCTCTTCCGTTTTACTGTCTTCATTTTATTAATTTTGCCTATAATCGTCTTCATAATGAGCTGCCCGTTGCCCTTATTACGAAAAGGTTTTTCACCTACTGAAGTATCCCCTGACTCAGGAGCAAGTGTTGGGGGCTGGGTTTCTTGTGGAAGGTTTGGTGGTGAGCGCTTGGGTCGCCCTCGCTTTCTTTGCATGGGTTTAGGTGGATTAAAGTCCACTTCAGGGTGCAAAACAGGGGGATCCTGCTCTTCTTTAGATTTGAGCAGACTGGAGTAGACTTTTGAGGGTACCAGTTTGTTTGGGGTGCGGCCACGTGCTGGTGCATCTAACCGAGGCATTTTGGACTTGGGCCGTCCCCTCTTCTTGGGTGAAGAATCAAAAAATTCTGAATCAACAGGGGACATGCGATTACCAGTGGGAGTCCGTTCCACAGGTTGCCGAGTAGGGGATGAAGAGGAAAGCCCTGATGGCATTGGTTTCTGATGGTTAGAAGCAGCCTCGTGTAAAGTCTTGTTGGTGCGACTCACTGCCTTCGTCCAGCGAGGCCGTCGTCCTCGCCGCTTCTTAAAAGGCTTTGAATCCTGCTCAGTTGGTGATGCAGGAGATAGAGCCCCAGTGTCGTCGCACAGTGGTGGTGGGCTCCTGCTGGCACCAGAAGGGTATGAAGGTGAAATAGTGCATTTGGTGGACTCAGCAGGACTTGGTACCCCACTAACACAACTTTCCTGATTGGGACTACGTTTGACTGGGCTTGAGCTCTTACCCCGCTCTCTTCGAGGAGCTGACAAAGAACACCTTTCTTTAGCATCTTGCTTCCCTGGCATTGCTAGTGTGGAGCCCTTACTTAAATCTCTGGGACTGTCCATGTCTTTGTCTCGGTAACGCTCTTTGTCTTTCTCAGTAAACTCCTCTATTTGGGAGGGGCTTGCTCTAGGCTGTGAGGCTAGTGAGCCTGGCAAACCCATGTGACAGCCTGTACTTTCTATTCTTTCTAAGGAGGAGGATGAAGAAGAGGAAGATGGTGGTGATGAAAGAGAAGCCGTGAAGGAAGAATGAGATGGGCAATGCCCAAGACGAGACTGAGATTTCATTCCATTGGTGGTACTGTTGTCAGTGCTATTACTTGTGGATGTCGTTGTCAAGCGACTACTGTTTTGAGACAGTGCAGTACTAGTGGTGGTGGTGGTTGTGCTGCTGTTGCTACTGGTGGCCCCTTTTGAAAGTCCATCTGATTCGTCTTTTCTGGAGGTGCCAGAAAATTTCTCCAGGATACTGTCCTTATTTTTGGACCCATAAGGGCGACCTGGGGGCCGTGAAACCGGTGGTGGTGGGGCAAGGTGCACCGCCCTGGAATAGGTGTTCCTATTGGCCATAGCCCGTTCGGGGCGCTGCAGATTAGAAATTAAGGGAGGCGAGCTACTGTGCGCTGGAGCTGGTGACACCTTCCGGGCTTTTGGCTTAGGGCACTTTGAAGGCGGGCATGTAGCTATGAGCTGAGCAAGCTTCTCAGTTACTGTAGGAGTACCCCAGGCAGAAATTCCCCTTTCTTGTTCTTTCTGCCCCTCAGGAAAATTGTACTGAGGAGTTAAGATACCATCTGTTTTGGGGTCCTGTTGCGATGTGGCAGCTGGGGGCATTGTCGGTGGCGATGGGGCAGGAGCAGAGCTGGTTTGTGGAACATGGTTTTTCTTTCCAGAGGAGGGTGATTTGCTTTCTGTCGTGGGGCGATGAAGATTAAGGGGTCTCTCTGAAGAAGCAACAGATTTTGCATCAGCCTTTCCCTCAGACTTACAGGCAAGTTTTGGAGGAGCCTATGCACATAAATAGAAGAAAACAATGAAAATAATTTTACATACCTTTAATTCAGTGTAATATGAAACGTCATGGAACACAAAGAAATAACAATGCATTGAAATAATGACAAATGTGTGACAAAACTGTGCTGGTTTTCACCTAGTTATTAGCAAAATAGGCTAATCTAATTTTGTTTATGCCACTGTTTATTGATTGAATTTTGGAACATTATTACTTGTTTTTTCCCCTCCAAATCAATAAAACAACAGAAGGATTTTAGAGGGAGATGGGAGGAGAAAGGGAAGATGTGTGTGAAAGAGGAGGGGAAGAGTTACAGAGAAATAGGGTTACAAGATATTATGGCATAAAATCAAGGCAAAGAAAGAAAAAAAACTGAACAGCAGAGTGCCCTGGATTAGACAGAAAAGCATAGTTACAATACAGAGAAATGTGGAACAAACAAAAAATGAAAGAAAATTAGTTTGTGTTTACGTGACCGAAAGAGAGGAGAGTGAGAAAGAAAATGTGGCAAGATTTGCAAAGCTTGTTTATCTGATGAAACCGCATTAGCTTAGTGAAAGGAAAGTGGAATAAGAGGGTCATTTGAGTTTGTCTAGACCTTTCAATCGTGTCACTGCTGGTTTGCATGTTATGTAATTTCAGCTAGTCTCTTTCTTTATTTACAATCTCTTAGACATCTAAGAAATGCTGTGTGAGAAGTTAAACAACCTTACCCTTTTTGCTGGAGCACTTCCATTCACAGGAGTGACTGGGCTGGTGGGAAGAGAAGGTGAGGGAGATGCAGCAGCAAGAGCGCTAGATGATAGAGGTGCTCCTCGGCTGACAGAGGGGCTTTTCTCTCCTTCTTTTCCACGACTTGGGCTAGAAGTGTGGCTGCTCCCATCATTGGCTCCAGCCCCACGATTAACACGGCCTCCGCCTCGTCCTCCACTATGCCTTACAGTGGCTCGGAAGGCTGGACGACACACATAGTTCTCCAGTATCTTAGGAGGCTTCTTCATGCGCTTGGCCTGTAGGCCTATCTTGAGCTTGACATTGCCCTCAGAGTAACTGGTTTCTTTGACCGAGAACTGTGTGGGTTGCTGCTGCTGGTCACTAGTCCCACTTTCAGCACCACAAGTTTCACTTTGTGCCCCATCTCTTGGTTTCTCTCGCTTTTTCTTTTCCTCTTCATCGTCCTTCTTTCCTCCTACTCCCTCTTTCTCGCTTTCTGCTGGAGGGGCGTTAGCAGGGAGCGGGGGCGGCGTAGAGGGCCCCCCCTGTGTCCTCTGATCCATTGGTGATTTAGGGAACAAGGGGGGCTTGAGTGGGACAGGATGTTCTCACTCGCAGGTATAGGCAGGTACTGGAGAACTGTACAGATGTCAGGTAGGAAGAAGGAAGTGGAATGGAGGGGAAGGGGAAGGGGGGAAAGCAGAGGTTGGGAAAAAATCCTTGTTGGGTTGAAGCAATGTTGTCCCTTCCCAAGTGCCCAGCCCTCTCACCTTCAAACTGAGGAGATAAAAACAAAAGAGGGGGGTGTTACGACCAAAAGACAAATTAGCCACACTTCTGAGACAGCCTTAACCTTTAATTTAATTATTAACACAGAATGGCTTTGCAAACATGGATCACCACCACAAACACGACTTTGAATGATCCAACTAAGGACACAGAAAGGCTAGTCACTAATATCCAAACTATACAGAGACTTTTGATTATGGATTGTTCTGAATTATACACTAAGAAGCCAGACAGAAAGAATCAGAGGCTTTTGCTGCCTTTTTTTTTTTACAACTACACTGCCTTGTGTTCTGATAAACAAATATGATCACATGCTCACTTTTACAAGAATGCTTAAAAAAAAACAACAACATGTAAGATCATGTAAACACATTTTACCAGATAAAAGTCATACACAATTTGACAAAAAGCAGACTTTTAATTTTTTTTAAGCCCATTTGTTTTATTGGGCTCAGCACTTTAACCAGTAGACTAATTCAATGTGCCAATGTATCTGTTTACCTTTTCATCAAAACTGGAGATAAGATTTTCTTGTGTTAGCTATGTTTGATAACACTGATTTTTGATGTTTGTCAGCATTTTGCTGTACATGTAAATCACCTTGTATGCCACAGAAAGAAATAAGTCACAAGGACATGAAATGATTTTGCAATATTAGTTTTATGTGAACCAGCCTTTCAATATTCTTATAGCAGTAAAGTTAACAAACAATTAACAATGCTTTTTTTTTTTTTACAATCGCCTTTCTAATAAATTGACCTGGATTATAAAAGACAGAGAACATACATTTTTTTGGAATGCACAAAAAAGTACTGGGGGCTTGACAAAAGTAACCTTATGCCCCTTACACACCTCCAAAACAAAAGGCCACTGAGTAATTTAGTACTGCACCGACCACAGGTGCTTTCTGAGGGTCAAATCATTGAGAGGCGAGTCTGAGCAGTGACCTCAGCATAAAGGGCCCTCTGGGAGACAGAGGATCCAGTCACCTTACCGAGCCCTTTTATGACTGCCAATCAGAAAAGCGCAGAGTGAATGAAAGACCAGGAAAGAAAAGGAAAAAGAGAGGGTAGAGCAACAGAAGTGGACAGTTTCTTTATGCCCCGCTGAGAGCGATGGTTTAAAGATTACACAAGTCTATTAAGAACGCCTAGGTCATTGGAATGCTACACGAATGGTTACGGCCGTTTAGTGCTCAGCACGAGAAAAAGCTCCAAGAGCCATTTTACGGAGTGTTGTTTCATTAGTGGTGGTCTTTTATATTGAGAAAGTCGTTTTCTGTGAAATCACCACAACTATAAACCATGTTCCAAAACTTGGAGTCCTGCCTTCCTTCTCTCTACTCCGACCTCTCACTGTTTACTATAATTACTCACCCCATTTCACTTAAACACGCCCTTTCTCTGCCATTCGCCCTTTCCCGTTTCACACACGGCCATCCAAAAATCACACCTCTCTTGTTCTCTGCCCGACCTACCCTTTCACCCCATTCTGTCACTCTCTTCGTCCTCTCACTCATTCAGTCTCCCTCTAACACTCACTTGGAAATCTAACAGTACAGCGGTCAAACTAGAGTCGTTGTGCTCCTGCTAATCGAAAACACATTTCCCCAGCGCTCCCTCCCTCCGTCTTTTTTCCCTGGTCCGTCCCTCCCTTCGTGACAATCATTCCCCTATTTCCTCAGCGCTCTGGGTCGTACTCCGCTTCTCGTTTCAGTGTTATTCGCTCTCTCTTCCCTCCTCTCTTTGCGGAGAAGATGCCAATAATAAATGCTACCTTGTATTGTAAAATGGCTGAGAGAAAAGTCTTGAGGGAAAGCTGGACAAAGAATTGCAGCATGCTGTCGTTTGCAACAATCCAACACTTTAAATTTACATTTATGCATCTGAAGCAATGGGAATCGAACCCATGCTCTTGGCGTTGCAAGCATCATACTCTACCAGTTGAGCTACAGGAACAAAACAAACAAAAAGTAACCAACTAAAAATGATTTTATTTTACAGTGGTCATGTCACAAATATTACATGCTACTATAATTAATTACTACAATGTAAACTATTACTTTTCATTCATTTAAATACATTACGTATATGTAAACACGAACGCTACACAAGTGTGACCAGATAAAGCTAATTTTCGTAGTGTAACATCAAAGTAAATTTATCAACAAACAAAAAGGAAACGCTTAAGTCAGTGATTCTTCTGCTTCCTCCTCCATCCACGCTTCTTCAGCACCTGTCATTCACGACTCTTTAATCTATGCTTGTTTTGGCAGCACAGATACAAAATATACTAACTCTGTGTATTTAGACAGTCTTTCTTCTGCTATGAAATTACGTGCCCGCGTTTCTTCTATGAGCACTGAAAGCCACAACCTCCAGCCAGCCAAAACACACTGCAGGACAAATTGGGAGGCAGTGACAGTTGAGTTATAGTTTAGATTTAGTGAGCCTGAGGGTAACTAGATGGCAAGGAGAAAAAGCATTGGCAAACTACATCTAAAAACTATTAAAAATATGGTGTAGAGGACTTACAGCAGACAAACAGCATCTACTCTTTTTTCACTCTACTGTAGATATAGTTTGCCTATGCTTCTTCAAAACCAGCATTTAAGCTACAAGATTGCGTCATATTAAAGTTGCAATGAAACACAAGTAGCAATTATTTTCTTCCATATTGTGATGTACACTGAGTGATTATTGAATAAGAAAAAAATGGTTCATGGTTCTATCAATGGTTCACTAAGTTCTATCCATCAGTTGTCAAAATGATGTCTAGACCTTTTTTTAGGAAGTGAACTTCTCTTTTTTTTTTTAGACATTTTTGTGATTACTTTTAACCAGCTGGTCTCAAAGTGATTTTTAGTGTAATTCATCACATCAACCATGAACATGTTGTAGTGTCTACATCATTTTAGTCTTTACTTTGAACTATATATTTAAATATTGTGCATGTTCTCTCGGTCACAAAAAATAAATGCAACTTTAATTTATTTTCTCACCTAAAAATGCCATTCATATATTAAATGTCCCACTGTAAGCCAGGCAACGAGTGTATACATCTCCCAACGATTCATTTATCTACTACAACATCCAGCTCGCAACTTCGCATCAGATGCCATCAGAAAGGACCACAAAACGAAACTAAACGGTGTAACACAGGGGTGCCCAAACTCGGTCCTGGAGGGCCGGTGTCCTGAAGAGTTTAGCTCCAACCCCAATTAAACACACCTGAACCAGCTAATCAAGCTCTTACTAGGCATACTAGAAACTTAAAGGCAGGTGTATTGAGGCAAGTTGGAGCTAAACTCTGCAGGACCGAGTTTGGGCACCCCTGGTCTAACACAAGCTAAGCATTGGGATCTGCTATTAATCTACACTCATATTTCAAACACAATGCGTCTTGGCTGGATCCTTTCCGACCACAAACTAAATGCCTAAAAATCACGCCTATCCACTCAAACATCACTCAGCCAACGGGAAGTTCAGTTCTGGTTTCCTTGACAGCTGTGTCAGAGGTCAAAGGCTCCAGACACCACTTTCTACACTTCTCAAGACCTCTGAACCAATGGGAAATCTATAACCAAGCAAAGGCGCGCGCAACGAACCCTATTGTGAGCGAGGTTAACTGAGGATGATCTACTCGCAGGTGCTACTAAAGGTTAGTTTCTATCAAATGAACACGTAAAACTCAGTGGCCAAAATACCTTGTGAATGAACACCGCAACATTTTAACTAAACAGCATTACGTACTAGCGACAACAAACAAAGCTCTTGCGCTACATTTCATGCATCAAAACACTGCATTTTCCTCACTTGTTTTGACAGATGTCTTAGTAAACCAAGCACCTCGTTTAAAGCATTAAAGCACGTTTTCAGTCTAAATGCAGAATTAATTAACAAGTTGCTCACCTTAACAGCGGTCCAGAACGGCGTTCACATAATTTGCGATCAAAATCCTCCCTTCGTACGCAACAGAATAGTCGCTCGGATATTTATCTTGAAATCGCTGATGTCCCTACAAATAAAGCAAAAGGAAAATACGGTCACATTTCTCGGAAGAACGTTCCAACCAATGCATGGCATAACAAAATATTCGTCTAGTGTGTATATCCAGTCATCCCGCAAAAATGAGCTGGAACGATATTTATCTAACGCGAGGCGCACTGGTCACGGTTTATGATCCTAATATAGCTAGCATAGCTCGTTAGCAAAGAGCGTATCTTGAGCTTAACCTTAAATTAGAACGGTGTGTCAAAAACTAGACTGTATGAAACAATAATAGCAAGTTATTAGACTGAGACTGTTATTACAAAGGGATGTCAGAATACCTTGCTGCCATTGCAATTTTGAAAGACAGATGTCTGTGAGTAAGGTAAGTTGGCTTTGCCCAACATCGCGGCTATATCCCTACGTATACAACGTCAACGGTCATTCAATTCGCGTCTCTGTGTTGTTTACTACCCCACAAACGAGTGAATTCACTCTAGGTAGATCGTACCATTAAACCCATACTCTAATGATCTGTCCTGTCAAGCACATTTGCTGGAATGGCTAGCTAACCCCGCGATCCGTCCACACGACTAGTAATGTAACGTTAACGTAACGAAGCAGCGGCTGTTGGTGGGGATCACATTAGTAAAGTGTTCCCTTCTCGCCCAGGCCGTCAATAAAAATCCAACAATAGCATAAAAACATCCTCGGAAGGACCAAAAGAAGCGGAATACAACAATCTAACGCTCTTCGGGATGAGCCCTGCACGGGTTATTAAAAACACGAACTGTCAACAAAATGGCGGCTGCTGCGTTGAATCAACAGAGCACCCGAAATGGATCTCTCCCTCAAATTCTTCGCCCTCTCCCTCGTCTTCTATGTGGCGCTCGTTACCCGTGATAATCCGATGTGTCGCCCGAATCTCTCTCCGGGTCCGCGTTAGTCGAGCTCAGACGCGTCGGAATGGGCCTCTCTCGTTAATCGGGCCTCCATGTCTGCTAAGCCCGTATCGTTTCTGTCAGGGCATTCTCGCAGTCAGAGCGGGAGGAGGAAGGGAGGGGAGTCGAAGGCAGTTGTCGAAGGCAGTTCGCTATGTTTCCACCCACCTATTTTTATACGCATTTTGGGATATCGCATTAAAAAAAACGCTGGGTGGAAACGCCAAGATGCGCATAAATTCTAAAAATCTCAAGTAGGATAAATTTCATATCCGGTAAGAAAACATGCGCATAAACTACGATGGAAACACTTTTTTTACCGAATAAATTCCTTAATGCGCATCCAAAAAGTCATGTGACTTTGCGATGGGGCAGCATAAAACTGGACCAAGGACTGGCCGATCTCATTGCACAGCATCTGAAAAGCTAGTTTGTCATTCTAAAATGCTTTAGCAAAGTCTCGTCAAAGTGATTTGTTATAATTAACTCCAAGAAATGCGTTCCCAAACAGCATGCTCCGAAAATAAAATAACATGACCGCGTTTCGTCTGCGCGCTCTGAAGCAAATACAAATTTACTGTATACACAAATTATATACAGCTTCTACTACTGCAGCAAATTGAGTTTTCTTCGTGATGTATAGTGTAAGTTAATCAGGAAGTGACGATTTTGTTCTCTTCAACTCCCTGGTGCTTTATTCGCAAATGTTTTATGCGATATATTTTGTAACTTCGTATGGAAACACACTTTCTCCCTGCTTGTGCGGGGGATACAAATTCAAACACTTTTAAACAAAATGCAGGATTTGTTTGCTTTCCTCGGATGAAAATGTAGAGCAATAAGACGTTTAATATTGAATTGCCAAAGAACGTTCATTCCCAAACCTGAAAGGGGGGTCGTGTTGTCGTACGCTCGTGGCAGTGTTTACCCACAGTTAAATATCGAGACTCCCGTGGGAATCATAGCCGTGAGGCGGGTTGTGTAACTGTACGAGTGAGCACTGAGCAGAATCCATTCATTAGGAGAGCAGCAACGAATCCTTCGCGTTCACTTTAGGGCCCGTTCACATCAAGGGCGATATATAACTGTAAAGTTTTAATAACCGTTCTATGGGAAGAGGGAAGTCCACACCACAATTATAAAGGGTCGTTCACATCAAGAACGTTAACTATAGCGTCGGTACAACGCACGACAACGTCCTGTTTATAATAAGCGCGAGTGTTGGGGGTTTACTTTTTTTAGGGAGTAATGCAATATTGTAATGCATTACTTTTAAAAGTAACTTTCCCCAACATTGATAAGCGCTGACTGAAGTTATGTAGTCTGCCGCTTTAAATGTTTGCGATTTCTTTTTTTTAAAGCGGGGTGGATTTTAATTAGCTGTCAAATGATTTGATTGTTCTTTAGATCGTTCCGGAAGTTCCAACGTTTGGTGTGGACTTCTCTATTCTCCTAGAATTAGAATGTTATTAAACTATTTAGTTATAGTTCGTTAGTTGTGGTTAGTTATAATGTAAAATAAAATAATTATTATATTGTTTTTCTTAAATACTCGTTTCTATTTTACAGTGAAATATTAATATAAAAAAATAAAAATACTAATTATTCAAATCACTTTTTTTTCCAGCTGATGAACGATAAAATAAGTGACAGCCAATCAGAATTCACCTGACTTTAAAGAGCTCGATGCACTGCACTTAGGCTACAATAAACAGAAGGATGAACTATTAGATGTTCTAAGTCTGAAGGAAACATGTTCATGAACGAAATGGAAAACAAACAAAATGTGTGTAGGCTACATACTCTCTCAGCCTCTTAATATATTTATACAAACAAATTAGTAAGTGATAATATGACTCGGTTGTGATTGTGAACGACGTTTTTAAACGAATGGTTGAGCATATGACTCACAAAACAAAATACTAATTTGACGCCACCTACTGGCGTAACGAGTTAAACTGCAAAAAAGGGCTATTGAATGAGTATTTTTAGTTGACAGATTCAAGAGTCAGTTAGACGAATCAAAATACCAGCCGCTGTTGCGAAAGGGCAACCATTATAACAATTTTTGGCTCCTGAAGAGGTGTCGTTGTCTCAGCCTTTAACTACAGTAAAATATCGACACTCTCACGGGAATTGTAGCTGTGGAGAGGGTTGTGTAACTGTATAAGTGGGTGGAATTCAGTCATTAGAACAGCAATGACAACTGAAACCTGTTTTTTTTTATTTGACCTTTTACTTTGTCCACACAAAATCCCACTGAACTTTTGGATCAGGCTTTGAGGAGGAGGGACTGTGAAATACAGTTGCGCAAGCCATATGGTTATTTTTTGACATTGATCTAAGTGATTCTGCATTTACACAAGTGCCTAGTGTCTTATTATAACATGTCAAGGTATTATTATTGCCGGGGTATTGCTTCATGCAAAACAAAAAATATTAATAGCCAGCCACGTGACTTATTTATTTCTACTAATAACGCAAAAATGACCTTGGTGAAACAGGTGGAAATCAAACTTCATGGTTTATAATATATAGTGAAACTGATGCTGTTTCATAATTAATATGTTAGGTTTTTAAGCTGCAAATGAGATAATTAGACTGACTGACTGACTGCATGGCATAGTGACGTGTTGCACATTAATGACAGAAATTAATTAGGAAGCTGGGCATTCAGCAGCTTCCTTATCATACAAAATGTAACGACAGATGTCATTTGAAACAATATGTGACATGTTATCAGTTAATGCAAATCTACCTCCCACAATATGCAAATCTTACGTTATAACTTGTACATTGTAAAAATTCAGTAAAAGTAGTAGTATTACAATTTTAAACAACTGTTTTAATATAATTTAAAATGTGATGGCAAAGCTAGATTTTTAAGACGCCATTAAGCCAGTCTTCAGTGTCTCACAATCCTTCAGAAATCATTCTAATATGCTGATTTTGTGTCCAAGAAACATTTCTGCAATGTTGAAAACAATTGTGGTGATTATTATTTTGTGGAAACTGTGATACATTTTTCTAGGATTCTTTGAAGAATAGAAAGTTCAAAAGAACAGCATTTATTTGAAATAGAAATCTTTTGTAACACTATAAATTTCTTTACTGTCACTTTTGATCAATTGAATACATCCTTGCTGAATAAAAAGTAATAAATCATAATATAACTTGTTTAATTCCACACCAAGCTTAAAGTATTTGGTCATTTTGAAATTAAATATGTAAAATAAATGTTTACTTAAATTACAGTTTTGTCTTGTTTTTTATCATCATCACCATCAAAAACCCCATATACTTCACACGCTCTGATGCCTAAAACTCAGAAAAATTGTCTTAACAAATATTTATTTATTTGTTTGAGAGTGCAATATGTAACAGGTTGGCCTATGGGTAAAGTTATGTGCATTTTTCTAGTTATTCAATGTAACATTTTTTTTCTTGTAAACATTTTACCTTTATCTGTGTGATAGTGTGGTATAAAATTCCAAATGACACTCAAAATGTTCAAAGGCCATATTGCAAAGAGAAATCATGAGTGGGACTGTGTCTCAATATTAAAATATGTAGCAGTCAAGGAACCCTGAGGATTAGCACCAAGAGGATAATCAAGAAGAGATCTAACAGCTTCATAACTTGTGAATACAATAAATACGATTCTTTTTCTATCTATCCACAAGAACCCACAAAATAGCAATGTCAAACAGAAAACACCAGTGCAAACTATCAACCCAAAACATGTATAGTACAACAGACGAAAATTTTCAGTGCAAAGCTTGAGTAGGTATCTAAATCTTTGCATTTCTATGATACCTTCCTAAGAATGACGGCATGTGCGGAGCAGAGGTCATCCATTGACAGGTAAGGGAAAGTGAACTGTGCGCTTACTTCATTGTGAGGTATTAAAACAGGAGCTCTGAAGAAGCTATAGGGTAAACGTGTGCTGTGCCATTAAATATGCATATGCAACTTGAACTGCATCCCCTGAGACATCTGTATCATCTATCTCAGTACTCGTGATCTCCAGTCCTGCGGCCCGCCTAAGAGACTGTGTTTGTTCCAAACTGGAATTTTTAAAATTGATTTAATGCATCACATGTGTGCTGTGTTAGTTGAAATATGTAAGTTCAGGTTGGACTGTAAACATCATTGGTACGATTTTGGGCACAACTGTACATTGCAAAAACACAAATAACAGATATAACCGCTAATCAGACCGATACTGACTGAAAGAGCCTCAATTAAAATGTGTTTTGAAATAGAAGGCACTCTTTTTCGGGGCTCTGTGAAGCACTGATGCACAGGGCTGTGGTGCTTCGCTCTGTCCTGGATTGATCAGCATAATAAAGGAAGGAAAAGGAGGCTAAAGAGTCTCAAATGTGCTACGTTCCTCTACATTCGTCGGTGAGGGAATTGCCCCTGGCGGTCCTGTCTGTGACTGGAAACCCCGGTCTTCAACATCCAGACTTTCCTGGCAGACGGCAGGTGTCGTGCTATTAACATAAAACAGTACAAATGAGGACAGACGAGTAATTGTCTTATTTCTTCATGTACGCTACTATTCAAAAATTTTGGGTATCTATGATTTTTTTTTAAAGAAATTAATACTTTTATTCAGCCAAGAACACATTAAATTGATCAAAAATGACTGTAAAGACATTT